CCATCGTTCTATGGTAGATATCCTACAGGATTCCATCGTTCTATGGTAGATGTCCTACAGGATTCCATCGTTCTATGGTAGATATCCTACAGAATTCCATCGTTCTATGGTAGATATCCTACAGGATTCCATCGTTCTATGGTAGATATCCTACATGGTTTTATGCTGTTAAAGAATGTATCCCTTAGGGATTTGTTAAATATAGGAACTATCCTAAAGGGTTAAAATTTGAAACAGGATAACTCCTACAGGATTTCATCTTCAAACAGGAGATATCCTACATGGTTTTGTCTTAATATAGGAAATATATCACGGGGTTTGTCTTAATGTAGGGATTGCAATAACTGGTTTCATTTCAAATATCCGACAGTTTTATCTTTATACATCGAATATCGTACACGGTTTTGTTATCCCTATATTGGTTTTGTCCTAATATAGGAGCTATCTTAATTGTTTTTTTCATCTTACATTTCGTTTCGTTATTTTATTCACTACTGACGTCCGCGTCTAAACTCACAAAGCTCGCTTTTCTCGTACCTTTACCGTAACCCACAGGTAACATTAATATACAGATGTATCGCAAATGGTTAACTCACTGATAATATTACCATACTGTTAGATAATTATCTAATTCGTATACTAAGTATACTATTTCATGTTAATTTCAAGGGAACAATTACGTGTTGTTTGCCCTTAAATGGTTAACTCACTAATACTATTATCATACCGTTAGTTGTTACTCCACTCCTACAATAAGTATACTATTGAATGTTATACTCACATAAGCAATTACGTATGGTTAGTTCTTCAATTTCAATTTCATTGATAACCTTAGCATATCGTTAAATGTTATCCTTCTACAATTAATATACCGTTAAATGTGAAACTCACAGATACAGTTACGTGTAATTTGTTCTTAAATATTAAACTCATTGATGACATTAACATACCGTTTAATGTTATCTGACTAAAAATAAATAAGTTAAATGTTAAACTCACTACTCACTGATACCATTGGTATACCATTAATGTTTTATTTATCGATGTCATTAATATAGCAGAAAATGTTAAACTCACTTATAACATGAACATATCGTTTAATGTTATCCCACTAAAAATAAACAAGTTAAATGTTAAACTCCCTACTCACTGATACCATTGATATACCATTAATGTTTTATTTATTTATGCCATTAATATAGCAGAAAATGTTAAACTCACTTATAAAATTCGTAAAATGTTTCAATGTTTCAAGTGCAAATTCAAAAAATATTCCTCTTCTCAACGAAGTTCATTGAGTTAGTAAAACTGTCGCCGGTACTATAGGAATACCGGTAAACATTTAACACATTGATACTATTGCTGTACCATTGAATATATACCACTGAATGTAACCATTGAATGTTTAGGCCATATACTTCCTCTGTACTTGTATAGTAATACGCGTACTAGTTGCATTTACACTAGACAAAATATCTAAATGTTGTTGCTTACAAAATGCCACATATACAATGCAGTATCCAACAGATTAAAAAATTCCTAGATAGGTTGGACAAAGGTACATGTTATCACGAAGACCATTGGAGGTTGTGTACTTACTTCCTGGTTGACTTAACCCGAACATATTTTATCTTTACCACTGTCCCCTAATCTTATAGAGTGTACATGCGTCTGAGCATGCTTAAATTGAAGTTCAAAGTTTAATTGAAACATTGTCGTTAAAACCTCATTTTTCAACAATTGGAAATGCAAAAAAATGAACAATGTGCAACTAATAAAAAGTATTCATGTATGAATACAACCCTCAAGGATTAAATCTGACATTGCATGTCAAGATAACCCTTTCCCGTTTATTGTGTCTCATGGTACCTTCCCTTTTGTTTTGTCTTTTTGGTTAACGATGTTGTCTCTTTATACCGATTTTGGTTCTGATGTTATCTTTTGTTTCTTTTATTAAGTATAGTTTTCAATGAGACTTCCGCTGGTTAACATTATCTACATAGTTGTATATCCGCTAAGTAAAGGATATAAACCGAAAACTTACAGTTTGCGGCCTTTATCTTACTTAAAACACACACCCTCTTTGTGTCAATATTGAACAGTTTCAATATCTGTTCAGTATGTGCAATCAACAACGAAGGCTATTGATACAGTAAAGGACAGTGGTGTCCTTTAGCATACTTTGCATGCATTTGTACAAGTGCATGCATTACAGGTGTGTGAAATATGTCCGAGTAGAATTCAGTCTCATTTGAATAATGTCGTCCAACGGTGAAGGTGCGTTCCCAACACAGTCCCTGTGCAGTACATTTTGAGCATCATGATCAGCATTTAGTATTGAAATGGATTACATTCAAATATTGTGATTGATTTATTGAAGAAAGTGATCACAGTATATTTCTGGGATTACGTGAGAGAATGAAATGAAAGATTTCAACACCACCTCAACATATTTTCATCAAAGATATATCTGGGATTATACAGGAATATTTTGAGGGATGATACGAAAGAAAGTTTGTGCACATAAATTGTGGGAAAAGATTTCAACTACCCTCAACTCAAAAGTGTTATTGCCAACATTACGAATTCAAAGGAAATTACAATTAATGCTGGAAATGCGTCTGTCAGTAAAGTGTTTGGATATGTATGCATCTATATGGATGTTTCATGTAAAAAGAGTGTTCTGTGATATAGTGCATGGGAAAACTGACTATGGGAATATAAATACCGGATATATACTTTAAGAATGTTGACATTTAAATTATGTGTTACATTTAATAAATATTTATTTTCACATTTATTCTATTACTATGTTTTCCATTGTATAGCATAATCATGTGCTCATTCAAAAGCTAACCTTTAACTGTCCAATATGTTACCTGTAGCCGTCCAATAAGTTACCTGTAGCTGCCCAACAATTACCCAAATTGATCCACTTATTGGACAGCTACAGGCAACTTATTGGACGGCTACAGGGGATGCCTATGAATTATGTTGGATATAGTACGCAAATAACAATGGATGACATCACAGCTGTGTTTTAACGATAGGTTTATATACAGAAGTCTATTAACAAGATGGTATCAGCGAAAACATCTGGGAAAGCTCATTTATGATTCTTACATGCAGTGTCAGCTTTAACAAAAGATATAAACATATATATTTCAAAGAAACTATGTACAAGGACTGCCTGTTAATCTTCCCATAAAACTACATGTACATGTACTAAAGACAGTTTTATGTGACCAGCACATTTGTACCTATAGCAGTACAACTTCACATTTTATACACAAACGGTATATCTTATTCTTTATAAGAATTCTATTAACTGCAATGGTATCTGCATTTTCTTCTAAATTATAAAGATATCTCACACAATCATAATTATATAATATGCCCTGTAACATTAAACACATCATTAATTCATATCGAGGTACATTTAATATATTTTGATATACATGAAAGTCGTTTAACCAAATATCTATTTCATTGAAAGAGATCCCGTTCTTATTGAAAGACAGAGTTATTTCATTGAATGATAATTTTCAGTTTGAATAGTTAGGGGTGAATGAGTTAAGTTATCTCTATTTCAATAAAGAGATTTGTCTTAAGGAAATTAAATGTTAAGTAAGCTTGTCATATCAACGTTGTATAAAACAAATTCCAAAAAAACAAATCATGTAACTCAACGGGAAATAATTCAGATGGGTATCCATTTTAACCATGTTAACAGTTTCAATGTATCCAGCATCATTGTCACCGGGTCTAAACTATCCTGGTTATCTCGTGTGCAATATCCGTGATATACATCCAGTTAATGCAATGTGAACCTATAGGATAGGCAATTTAAGAAAACAAGCTAACAAATACTTTGACATACAAAAAAGAAGATTAAAAGTGCCAGTACAATGCTATTATCAGCGTTACGGTTTAACTAATGTCAATTTTAAACTTTTAATACCATCGTGAGACGCTCGCATCTTATTGTGTTGCATTCGAAAGAAATAATAAATTAATGATTAAACATGTACACTTATTTTCAGTAGTATTAAGGACTCGAAAAATAACTATGTATTTCAAAAAGTTTTATATGCATAATACCATATCTTTTTTAAATTTAAATTTAACGTAATACCAATTGTTTGTATGTAATGTGCGAGTAACAATTAAAAACAAAACGAAAACCTGTACATGATATTACCATTGTGGTTTCAAGCAAGACAAAAGGGTTCAATAAGGGTTTATTAAGATTTAAATGTCATATTTTATAAAATGGTTTTGATTAAAGATGCATAAAGGATTTTTATCTCGAAAGTTGCAAAGATAAATCCAATACATGGTTACAGTACTAGTAAACAATAACTGCATGGTAGTGAAATAAAACTGTACTTGCGACAACATCAAGATATGTCAACTGTGTAGTGTTTACAGTGCGAATCTAATTAATTAATAATCTATATAATGGAGTTTCTAGGCAGGGTTAGTTAATATATTATATAGGCATATTCTAAATGGTTTTTCTGTAAATTTTCAAAGGTTTTACTGTAAACAAATAACACATTCTTAACGCTAATGTACAAATCCATAATGTATAACCAGGGTATACCAAATTTTGTCACTGTTCGGTTCGTAAGGAAATCCTATCGATGAAGCGTATATCATTCAATAAATCTACTTCTATATCATATCAATATACTACTATCACTTGCTGTCAAATCATTAGATAAAATATTAGTATATTGCATCGTAAAATCATTCTTTCTACAGAAACCTATAGGAATAACATTTTCCGATTTGGCTGTACAGTGCGTCACTATTTACAGTTTGAGTTTGCATCTCATTTAAATCCTAATAGAGATATTATCTCGGATAATTAATTATGTCTTTGGTGGACTTATATACATGTCTACAGATCTAGAAAACAAAGCTCAATGCAAAACAAAAATGGTGTCAATTGTTTAAAGATATAAATAAATAAATAAATAACGTACAGGCAAAGAAGAAAAAAAAGAGGAAACGATCATAATTATCATTGTTTATAAAATCATTGAGGAATAGAGCCAAAATTAAGTTCAAACATAGAATTAATGTTGATTTGTTTGCCTTGATTAAACGTGGATTAATTGGGAAATTCAACTTCGATTAATGGACATTTTAGACATTTAAATAGACTATTTGTAGCACACATGATTCTTTTGCTGAATCAAGTCGTCTTAACTGACTTTATACATATGCATGAGTAAACTATACACATATATATGTACAATGACTTTAAGATAAGAAACGTGTATTATGACATTTAAATATAATCTCATTGGACGGTTCTATATTAAAAACAAGACATTCTCGGCATACTTGACAACACATTTGTTGACACACCATTTCCGGTCAACGTCACTTCCGTCTATCTGACACTTGAATTATAGAATCTTGCATCCATTGTTTTCGTTTATATTTAATGACTCGACAAATCGATGCACTTGGTCATTAAGGACAAAGACATGATCGCTTTGGGGTAATTCATGAGATATGATTAATATACGGAATCAATGATGTGTGACGCTTTAAGATGGATTGGTCTCCGGTTTGTTGTTTGCATTTGAGCGGCCTTTCAATAGAATCGACCATGTTTTTGTTGTAAAATTGGTTTTAGTCGATGTTGATAGACGTTTGTTTTGATCACAGTTATAGATAGCTCTATAATAAATGGGATGTAAACCTCATCCATCATGAATCCAAGAAAGAAATATTGGAAATTGCGTCAGAATCTTTCACCAGGCCTTTTTCGAGTTTCGTGATTCGTTGCTTCAGTCTTTGTTGAGTGGCGTTGAAATCGGCAAGAAGTCTGGCAAACCTTGTTTGTAAAGTGTCCAGACTCGAATCAATCCTGTCAAGTTTTTGTTCGGTCGTTTCTTGCTGCGCTTCGACCTTTTTCATCAGTTCCTCATCCAAAAGATTGTCTTTCCTAAGAATTTTCTTACCTTTGTCAATTAAAATCTTCTTTGCATCCGGGTACTGAGTGAGAACATCCCACAGGTCATCTTTCGACAAACAGAACAGGTCGCTGTAGCCTGTACTCTTGATATTTGCCGTTCGACGGTTGCCGTTCTTATTCCCTGCAATATTCAATATGCTTATCTCACCAAAAACACTACCCTCCCTCAGAGTGGCAAATATGGTCTTCCCGTCGTCCGAAACAACACCTAGCTGTCCACGCTTGACTATGTACATTTCTTTTCCAATGTCGCCCTTCCTGCATATATAATCACTCGGACTAAACACCTGTAGTTTGAGATTTAGTACAAGCTCCACAAGTAAACCAGGCTCACAATCCTGAAACAAAGCAACACGCTTCAACGTATCTAAATGCACGTGTATCGCTATTTCTGCCTTGAGCTTATCCGGAAGTGACGCCAATACTTCCTCCTCATTTAATGATTTCTTGTTGGTCCACAAATAATCAAACCATTTGATCACTCTTTGCTCGAGCTCTTTGGACACTTTACGGAACTCCATGTATTGTTTTACTCCGTCCATTTTCCCTTGGAATTCCGCGCGTGCAGCGTTCATGTTTGTTATCATGCTACCGACGTTACCGACGATGGTAGCGAAAATGAGGACACCGATGAGGAAATCGACGACCACAAATAGATACTCCTCGTCCTTTTCTGGGACTGGGGTTTCTCCAATCGTTGTTAGGGTTAAAGTTGACCAGTAGAAACTGTAGATGTATTTCCGGGTTAATGGTTGAAATTTTGGATCGGAAACGTTTGGATATACCCACAGGTCTGAGCCGAATCCTAATGAGTTGCTGATAGCAAAATATATACAGGCATTCCAGTGAATAATGATCAGAATGTAAAGCACCAAATTCATGATTCTGATCATGTTTGTAAAACTAGTTCTTGTAGCCGTTCTGTCAAAGAACTCGAGCAGACGGTTAAATCGAATGATTCGATTAAATCTTAGTTCTGGTTTATCCAGACCAATTAGAAAGTAGAAAAAATCTGTCGGTAATATGCTAAGGATATCCGTCTTAAACATCGTCGAAGACGTGTAGTGCTGTCGTAGTTTAGTACCGTCACGTACAAGGAGTCCCTCCTCCAGATACCCTGTAAAACGAATTATGATATGTTACATACAGAATAACACACACGGAGAATAAATTACTTACTGACAGTAAAATAAGTTGCAGGCGTGTAAAACACACGTGAAGCTTCGGTTCAACTAGTAACTGACAGTAATTTAAGCTACAGACATGCAGTTAACACACAAGGAAACAAAATTCATTACAGAGAGAACTTTAAGTTACATATAAATAATTTAAACACATAGATAATCAATTTGCATTTTTTTTTTAAGTTACAGAAAAATAGTAACACTCGGAGAACCAGTTAGTTTACGTTAGGAAAAGGGTCAAAATTACGGGAATCAACTAGCAATGTACAGTAAAAACATTTATAATAATAATGAAATAAAATAACCAATTACTATTTCGTTTGTTTTAAATTATCCAATCTATTCTCACAATGATTGAATCATTTGATTACACTGGACATTCTGCCCAAGGTAATAAAAAAATGTCTAACAAAATCTCTTTAGAATTCTTTTATAAATGAAGATGTGACGTCACCTTATAATAAATACACGAAAGAAATTAAATTATTTCACTAGTACCGGTATTTGTTAGTACAGTTATTAGAGAACTATTTCGTTATAGACTTTTAATAAAAAAATGTTTATTTTAACCAGGACGGCTAGGCAATTAAGGTAATGATAGATTGAAAATTGGTCGTAATTTATAATTGTTTGACGCGATGGTTTTTACGATACCTAGCTCGATTGAAAAATATGTGGGATACCACGGCGTTACGAAAGATAAGGTAGTGAAAGTATAAAATACAATGAGAAAAGCATTATTACTAAATATGTAACATTTCATACATGTGATCAGATAACCCGTTGGTTTATTAAGTATATGAAATTATAGAAACAATTTGGAAGCATCTTTTAATTTAGTAACACGTTAATCCACAAGTATATACATAATATGCATAACAGTGTGCATGTAAACCTAAACTTAAAACAAGAAAATAACACTGAAATTAAACGAAAGGCGTCCAAGTTTTGTATTGCTGCTAAATGAAACATTATTGGTAATTAAACCGTGATACAAGTGTTAAGATAAAGTAATGACAAAAAACCTTGGGACTGATGAACTGCTGTTTATCTGAAATATGTGTGTACAATCTACAGACTGATGTTTATAGAAAAACACTTGTATGTAACCTAGATTAATGTTTATATAAAACACTGGTATGTAACAAACAGACTGATGTTTATATAAAACACTGGTATGTAACATATACTTATGTTTATATAAAACACTTGTATATAACATAGATTGATGTTTATATAAAACACTGGTATGTAACCTACAGACTGATGTTTATATAAAACACCTGTATATAACATAGATTGATGTTTATATAAAACACTGGTATGTAACATACAGACTTATGTTTAGATGAATCACTGGTAGACAACCTTTGAACTTAAAGTGTTACATGGTTTCATGTAGACGTTAGAATATTGTCAGCTGCTCGCGTTCTTGACGAATTGATGATGTCGTCAACATGTTACGGCCCTCAGTGCTATATAATTCGAACATTTGAGACATTTTACACCTTTTACATTGCCACATCTTCCTGAATTATGAGCTCTTTTCAGAAGTGTTTTGGAGGCTATAACGCAGCCATTCTTTCGAGTTTTATTACTCTGCAGTACAAAGATTGGACTAATGTAAAGTTTAACCTTTACAATTAAACACCCGTTACCACGTTATCACATCTACATGTACAGATATAGCTAGCAGACTTGGTAAAAAAACTTGAGACGTTTTCGCACATTTTGAATTTATCAAGTTTAAAATGTAATAGATGATTCAGTTGTATTCTAACCATGCTAGATCGGTCGCTAGACATGTTCAATCGAAAATTAATTCATACTTATCAGTATGTTTTGGTACTAGGTATTTTTGGTCGACGCTTGTTGAGCTACTCCTCAACGCATACCTAGCTTGTTTACACACAAAACAATGTGTGAAACTAAGATATTAAAAAAAATTAAATGGAAGGCTTGATTTTGATTAGAATTGATTCTTGAAACAGAATTTACCTCGATATGTAATATTTGAACACAATGTTTTAAATGTATCAAATTCAAAAGTTTGCAACACGTCGTATCTGAGATATTTGTTCTTTCCGGATTCGACTGAATTTTAAATACGCATGCCACGTAAAATGGGTGATGTGTACTTCCGCAATACACCGAAAATAAAATATGAGAAAATAAAAAACTTGAATATAATTTTTAAGTTATGTAGCTATAACACAAAAAACCGGAGTGTACTCTCATCATAAACTGCTTCGCGGTTTATTTAGAGTACGGTCCGTTTTTTTGTGTTATATCTCCATACCATAAAAAATATATTCAAGTTAATCCTTAAATAACTATAGATATAAATGACATGGAGACAGGCTTGGGAGCGGTTATTACGGTTATTACACACCTAATATTTGTTTGATGTGTGTATATTACTTGTTATAAAAACGAACAGATACAGAGATAGATGTTCACAGTTCTCGAAAAAATATGTTTTGCATTTACCCGAGAGGGGAACCTTTGAAATAGATACAGTATGAAGGTATCTGCAAATGCAAAAGGGACGACACGTCGTCGTTAGTATTCAATGGGGGAAGCCCTGTTTTATCTCCGTTAACATAGGTCTCTTCACAGGTTAAGATATTATGTTTATACCTACTTTGACTGTTTCAAGAGAAGGGTAAACAATAAAAAAAACTATGGTAGATTATCTACAATATACAATACCTAATGGGAGCTTGTATGATGATCATCATAAGGATATGAAGAAAACGACCCCAGTGTTTAAACCGCGTGTACATTTTATAAATGCAAAATACAGGTACATCTACAAAATGTGATATAACTATTGATTTGTAATCAATATAATGTGATTCTCGTCTTAAGGTATACAATGCGCACCTATTTATTTTGTAAGTATGATACCCAAAACATTTAGTACGGCTTTACTTTGATCATAAATCATTATGATAAGTCGTCTCGACCAAATGTAACAATCCTGTCCGTACAGACCATTGGTATGGCTTTGGCGTGTTCAAGCTCTTAACTATCTCATGTCATTATTGCCATTGTTTGGAACGATGATACTGACTTATAGCAAAAAAATGTGAACGTAAAGGTGGACGATGCTTGGTTTCGATTGATTCAATACGACAATGTAGGAGTAATATGACATACAGAATCATCACGTAGTAATATAGCAAGACACTATACTAAAGCTATATGATATAATACGACATATAGCCTCGAAACTAGACTGAAAGGCTTTACTCCTTACGGAGCTAATGCTATTCATATTGTACTCAGAAGTCATTGTTGCGGTAGTAAGCAATCATATACCATACCTAACGTAAAGCGGTACTTTTAAAATGCTCTTATATCTATGCAGTGTTTATGTATCTTATTTCTTCATGTTTTGTTTTGTCCAGGGTTGAACGTCCTCGCTAACTGATGTCAAATGGATATATGTGCTTTAGGAGACACGCCGAAAACAGTTTAAGAAATTATTCTGTGCTCATAGCACAGTAGAAAATATTTTGCAGGCTCATCATTTTAACTCAGAATAAAGACCTGTGTAGGCTGTTTGGTCATCGAGCATAGAGAACGATGTAGACAATAATCATTGTTGAAATAATTTGTTGAAAATATTGGGGTTTTTTTTGCCTGAAAAGTGATTTTAACACAGATTTGTTTGATCACACGGAGAGCCTTTAATATTACAAATAATGGAAAAAAACGTCACCTGTTCACGTTCTCATTAAGTGTAAATGTAGTCACCATAAAAAATGCGTCAAAGTATTCAATGGAAAAACATGTGATTATTCTTGCAATTTGCATCGCTTTCTAACAGTTTTCCTGATAACAGTGACCGAAGGGATACTCAAGGAGTAGAAGTACAGAAACTAGTTTCCTTATTTGAAATATTCTGTGTGTGTGCACACAAATGTTGTACTCAAAAGATGCTTTTCAGACGAAAAACAACAACATTTATAATAAACAGTGTTTTCAATGTAGGGTTTACATTGTTCTTGTTTTTTTAATACCAAAATGCTTCCTAATCTCCTTTTTTAAATAAGAAAAATGTATGAGCGCACAACACATGGTCTATACAGGAGGCTGTCGTTTTTGCAGGAGATAACATATGTTAAAGGATACTGTCAGTCTGCTAAACCGGCCGTAATTGCAGGCTTCTAAATCTGATCAGTCGCCTATTCATGGTTAGATGTCTTTATCGTTTGCTCTTTAAAACACGGAGACCTGTTGCGCAAATCTGACGTCAGTGGATTTTGGAAAGCTGGGAAATTATTTATACCTTAATAACAGTTTATCAATTGCTCACTTCTTTGGCGATATGTGAGCGAGAAATGAATTTAATGACAGTTGGATATAAATATTTTGTCTAGCATTCAAGTTAAAATCCCACAATTATGTCGCCAGATTTCCGTGTGATATCCCTGTATAGCTGTAATATAGCTGACTATAAACAGGCGATCGATAGGAATTTGGAAGTCAGTTTCAGCAGAGTAGAATACCGCATGTCAGTTTACTTCCTCAAACCTGCATAAATCCATATTACGTAAATGTAATTTGATGAAGTTAGGTACTTGTTTTAACTCCTATTTTACAATACAACTTCATATTGATCGTATCTTCGTAATTATACATATATTACATGTAGCAACTATCTAAGCTTTAGAACTGCTTTTAAATATAGCTTAAAATATTACGTAAATGTACAAAGGATGGGTGTGAGTTTTGGTGTCATTACGGTTAGAAGGTGTGAAATCTTTGACTCACCTGTCTCGAAAGCTATCCCCGTGTCGATTACAATGATTGGTGCGTGTTTTTGTGTTATTGTGGTAAGAAAGGGTGCAATCTGTCGACTCACCTGTTTTGGAAGCTATCCCCATGTCGATCAAAAGTATTGGTGCGAGTTTTGGTGTTATTACGGTAAGACGGTGCTCACTATTTTGACTCAACTGTCCGGAAAAATATCCACATTTCGATCACAATGGTTTGTGCGAGTTTTGGTGTAATTACGGTAAAAAGGTGTACAATAGTTATGCTCACATGTCCTGAAAGATATCCCTATGTCGATCACAAGGATGTGTGCGAGTTTTGGTGTAATTACGGTAAAAAGGTGTACACTCTTTCGACTCACCTGTCCTGCATGATATCCCCATGTCGATCACATACAGGATGTCACTGAGGTAGTCTAGGGCCAGCCACAGGGACATGTAACTCCTCTGCAACTCCCAAAACACCGAACGTGCGATGATAAAGACAACATTGTAGAGGACAGATATGGAGATGACAAAGAGCCACCGATAATAGAAATCTTGAGACGGGTCCACCACAAACCCCTTCCAGTACCTTAAAACAGAAATATAACATTGATACCAAATGCATATCATATAAAAACAATCAATATCTTCAATAACAAAATCATTAAATAATTACATTTCCAATCTGTAACATAAGAAATAAGATATAATGTATAATATAGCGTAATTCAATAATTACATTTACAATCTGTCATGAAACTTACATTCGAAATATGGTATAATGTATACATATTATGTATATGTAATATAATGTCGTTAAATAGTAACATTTACAATCTGTCATTATTTTTACATTAAAAATAAGGTCTAATGTATAATAAAATTAGGTAAGAATATTTAACCAAACATTAGTGGATACCGAAGTGTCCCTAACGTTTGAACAACTCAAATTCGATTAATCAAGGGCAGAATATGAACAAAGGGAAATTTCACGTGATTTAACCCGAAGACCTTTGAAAAGTCCTGAGGAAATAGAACACGTGTTCTGAAAAAGGAAAAATCTTCTGCCCTGACTTTCGTACTTCATGTAATATATCTTGTAAATGCGAAGTATTTTATCATTTCGTTGACGTGTAAGAACATGTGTAGCTTTAATGACGATACACACGCACATAATCTTTGTCTGAATGTGTGTTGAAACGAACAACACTTGTGCATACATTATTGTTTGCTATCATTTTCGCGAATTTGCTGTTTGTTGAAATTGCCAAATATCACTGCCTGATATCATACATAGCAGACAAACCATAAAAACTGCCCACATGGTCAGAAATTATAAAAAAAGCGCACAGCTTGTTGTGAAATGAAAATATACATATGCATCACGTGACAATTGTTAGCGCGCGCAAGAGAACCGCCTTATTTAAATAACTAGATTATCTGGGTCATCTTTCTTATCATAGGCGTATGGATATTGAGATAGTTAAGAAAAAGACTTGACCTACATTTCACTTGGTAGAATAAATATAACCTACATATGTTTATAGATTCGAAAATGGTGAACAAATGATCTATTCAGGCCGCATTTTTTCCCAACATTTTCTCAATTTCGTCAAATATTCAATCATAATACATGCATTGATTGGTTCTTAAGTAGCCGACAACACCGGTACTATTGCTGGTTTGTTTTTTACAATAGAGGTTATGATTATATTGCTAGGAATGGTCATCCTTAACAATTCCCTTATCCATATTAATTCCATGGACATTTAACATAAAACTGTGTTTAGTTTTCCCAGACGGTTGACCTATTTGCTCTGACACTCTGATTTGGTGAGTTGGAGACGTGATCTTGCCCTCAGCTTTGTGTTTGGTAGACAATTGTTGCGTTTGACTAAAATGTTAATAAATCAGCACATCGTCTTCTTTTTCCATATGATAGTTTGTTCTACAAGTAAAACACATGTCGTTTTCCTACATTACCATCTAAGAAGTGCCATATCAGATTGCTCCTTTTCGTATAGATTGTTCGGCAGACCCAGACAAAAGTAATTTCGTAGAAGATTTTCTCAAGAAAACAATCAATGGTAGACTGAATGGGCTCCGAGGTAGTATATGTTGCTTCCATTCCAGAAGATGTGTAACAAAGTTAAAAACATTCACACGAAAACACCGAATCTGTATGATGTCACTACAGTGAAACCGTTTACCAGGATGGGTAAATCATAACTGTCGATTTAGCTTTTCAAGACTGTCAAAACAGGTTCTGCAATGGTACCGGTTATTATTATTAAAACAGTCAAAATAACGTTCAATAGAAATTATGTGATTGCTTTAGTTTGCATTCGGTCATGACTCATGTGTCATATGTCTTAGCCCTTACTCATGTGTCATATGTCTTAGCCATGACTCATGTGTCATATATCTTAGCCCTGACTCATGTGTCATATGTCTTAGCCCTGACTCATGTGTCATATGTCTTAGCCCTGACTCATGTGTCATATGTCTTAGCCATGACTCATG